CCAACTCTGATTATCTGTATCTGTAAATAAAACATCTTTTTTTTTTTGAGAATAGCATGATCTCGGGTTATCACTTCTTCATACAGACACAAACTCAATTTCATATTGATCTTTGTGTTCCATTCCATATCTTATTACTATTTTAACATTTTCTCCATAATTTTTCTTGGTTTTCTCAACTTTATTTTTAATTATCTCATATCTAAATTCAATTATATATCTTTTTCTAAATTTTAATGTCTTTCCAATCATTATATTTATACTTTTGTCTGTCCTGTTTCAATTTCATATTATCTTTTATCATTAAACAAATTTTCCCCTCTAGTTACTAATTGGAGTATGACACCTTTATATCTTTTAATTTTATCCATTCAACTCTTATTTAAACTTCAATTTATGACTTTAAAATTATAACATTCAATATAGTACCTAACTTCCAATCGAATTCTGCTTGGTACAGTCTTAAAATACACACATACACACACACATACATATATATATTGCTGGTATTCAGCTTTGTTCGGGTATTTTCCCACGTCATTATAGTTGTGCTTTTAAAGTTGTAGCAACGTTTCGGCAGAATCTTATCTGCCATCATCAGGCTTCTGTATTGTGTTCGTCTGTGAGTCAGACTTTCACAGCCATTTCTGTTTTAAATTTGGTGCTAGCCTACTGCTGTGCCAGAATGTTTTTTTCTTCATCCTGATTGGTTGGGAGTCTTGGTCTGTGTTTATTGGTCTTGGAGTTTGCTGTGTTCTGCTTGATTGGTGTTTCTAATATCTTCTGTCTGTTTTGTAGCTTTTTTTTTGTCTTGATTGGCTAGCAACATTGTGTTTCCTGTATTGGAGGCTTTTAGTGCGGCTTGGCTCCGAGTAAATGGACGACTATCATTTATTAGGAAGCTAGGTTTCATCTGGGTGCCTGGTTGGGGTGTGTTTGAGCTGGAGATATCAGGGGGAGACTGTTTGTGCCCAGGTGTTTGCCTGGCTTGTGGTGTGGAAATTTTTTTGTTTGAGAGTGCAGGCTTCCAGATAATTGACAGTCTGGTGGAGTCATCTCTTCTATTCATGCTTTCAAGTCTTTTTAAAATCTCTATGGCTTCTCTGATAATTCTGTAGCTGGGGTTTTCTATAGTGGCTAGGGTTTTGGTGCCATTGAAGTCGATGCTATACCACACAATACAAAACAGAAGCCTGATGATGGCAGATGAGATTCTGCCGAAATGTTGCTACAACTTTAAAAACACAACTATAATGACGTAGGAAAATACCCGAACAAAGTCGAATGTCATATATATATATACTGTTCCAGTTGCCAGTTTTAGGAATTCTATTATTTCTGGTGGAAAATATCTTGAGAATGTATAATATTTTCAGAAAAAATGCCCCTGTTTTCAGATCTGTAGTCATCAACTTTTTTCTGCTTTTGTCTCCCGGCTTTTCCAATTTCTTCTCCCCCTCATTCTCTGTTTATTAATTGCTTTTGAATCTTGCTAGTCTCTGTTGGTAGAGGCTTTAAGCCTCCTTAATGAAAGACAGAAGACAATTCACTATAAATGTTTTTAAACAAATTAGTTCCTTTGTAAACTCCTACATCAGTGGTTCTTAACCTTTTTGAAAGAATCACCCCCTTGAGCCATTGAGGAAGTTATCATCGCCCCCCTCCCCCAACATAACCTCTCAATCACAACACAGGGAAATAATTTTTCAATTTATGCAAATATGTTTTTTGTTTTCTTTAAAATTGTCATTAGGACATATTGATGCAAATAATTTATTTCCAGTCTTTTTCCCATATCAACTGTGTGAAAAATTCTGATGCCACCCATCACTTTACTCCCAAACTTCGTGATACATGTATTTCATTATTATTTATTCAAGACACTTAAATGCAATGACCACTGAAAACAAAATTCAATTGCAAGAAAATGAAATGCCTGAAAAAAACCAGTAACATTTAATGATTTAATTACAAGTGAATTTTAAGACGCAAAAAGAAATATAAAAAGGGCATAAGAACAAACCGCAATGCAGGAACTAAGAATTTCAAAATGAAAACTCTGAAACTAAATTAAGATTCGAGGAAAATATATATTCATGCACACTGTAAAAAGGGTTAAAAAGACACAATTTTTTTTTTTACAGAAGGAAAGCAACAAAAATCAGAGCAACAAATTTAATGGGTAGAGTGATAGAAGCTGCTGCGCAACATGCATGAAGATAAGCAATGTGTATTCACATATGTACAGCGGTCTGTACTGAAGCTAGCTGGAGGATCATTTTTAAACACAGTTCAATCCACTAATAGCGAGCGATCTGATGTTTTTGTATGACAGATATACAGCAGTTCACTGTATGAAAAAAGTCTCAAAAGTGTCCCCAAAACTTCTCGCTCCATTGCCCCCATATCGCCCCCCTTCCGTTCCTTCACCTCTGCATCACCCCTTTTTGTTCCATCACCCCCCTGAAAAACAAAATCACCCCCTGGGGGTGATATCGCCCAGGTTAAGAACCATTGTCCTACATGATTGTTTTCCTTGAAAAAGATCAAAGCAAATATATTGGCAAGTAAAGCCAAATGCACAGGTATAGAAAATGTGATACCTGGCTCAACAGTAGCAAGTATGAAAGGTATTGAGGTGTCCTGGTAGACCATCTCTTAAATATGAGCCAACAGTGGGCTCCAGCTGCCAAAAAAGTTAATGCAGTCCTAGGTTGCATTAACAGAGGTATAGTTTCAAGATCACATAGTGATAGTACTGTTTTATACTGCACTGGTCAGCCTATGCTTGGAATATTGCATCCAATTTTGGTCACCATAATACAAAAAGATGTTGAGACCTTAAAACAGGGGTGTTAAACTTGCAGCCCGAGGGCTGCATGCATGATGCCCATTTTAGCAAAAGGGGAAAAAGACTACAACATGACAATGCGAGTTTGACACTCCTGCCCTACAGAATGAGTGCAGAGAAGAGCAGCAAAGATGATTAGGAGACTGGAGGCTAAACTATACAATGAACAATTGAGGAAACTAGGTATGTCTAATCTAATGAAGAGAACTGGGGGTGATATGATAGAAGTCTTCTATTACTTGAGCAGCTGCCACAGAGATGGAGTCAACCTATTCTCAAAGCACTTGAGGGCAAGACAAGAAATGACAGGTGGAAGAAATTAAGGAGAAATTTCCTGGCAGTGAGAACAATAAATGGGACAGCATACTCCTGGAAGCTGTGGATGCATCATCATTGGAGGTTTTCAAGAAGAGACTGGACAGCTATTTGTCTAAAGTGGTATAGAATATTCTGCTTAAACAGAGTATTGGATTAGATCATTAGAAGATCTCCAAGGTCTCTCTCAAATTTATGTTCTATATATTCATGGTACATTCTATGCTGTTAACCTACAAATCAGCTTTGTATACTAATAGCTTATGGGACTTAATATGGTTGTCCATAATGCACCAGGTTAAAGGCACCAGGAGATTGTGAGTTCTAGTTCCACTTTAACACAATCAGCTGGGTAACCTTGGGATAGTCGCTCTCTCTCAGCCTTAGGAAGGAGACAATGAAAACCACTTCTGAAAAACATTGCTGAGAAAATTGCAAGAACTAGATTAGGTTATTGACAGGAGTCAAAACTGAGTCAAAAGCACACACACACAAATCAAAACACAATTAGCAAAAACAAGTGATTATCGTAATGATGTACTATGCTATGGAAGTCAATGAAATAAAGCAAGAAATGCCAAGTACTATAACTCTTAGCCACTGGCTGGAACTAATGGCATTAAGCAGTGTATATTCCCTCTTCCGTTTGCATGCCAGAAACATCATTTATCTCCAGGTGGTCTTTCAAAAATCTGCCTAGGTCTTTTGTTATAGCAGATCTTGTGACTGTATAATTGTATCTATCGACAGTAATGCATTGTTACAAGTAAAAGGTAAACACTTCGAGTCAAATCTGACTTCTGATGACTTCATGGTTTTTATTGTCACCTACCTGTTTGTCTTATTTATATTCCTGGGAGTTTCGGATACCAACCTGTCCAAGTAATAGTCCAGCCTAGCCCGTGTAGCTTCTCAAAATCAGCCAAAATCAGCTTGCCACCAATAAAATATGTCTTTGTAAATTAATTTTTCCTGGGAATGAACAGGTTTGGCAAAACAATTGCCCTATACCCAAGCAAACATTATTTTTGTCCTGGAGAAATTGCCCATTTAGGGAAAACACAGTATAGGAAAATAAATAAGATCTTTTTCACACTAAATAAATGCATATTTTGTTCACATAGGTACATGGACACATATAGGGGACATGAGGAGCTGTGGGTTGATTTCACTGACTTTATTTCAAATAAATTTTTACTTTGAATTACCAAACTGAAGAGTTTTATTGTTTGGATTAACAGGCATGTTAAATTTATGGCTTAAGACATTGTTTTTTAAATTTAACAAATGTAGATGTTTGGGGCATGCTGTCTGGGGAATTCTAGGAGTTCGAATTAATCTTCAAGTTGCCAGGTTTGAAAAATATTGATATAAGACTTTGTAAGTTCCTTTATGTTACAGCTTATAGTATATATGTAATGAAATAGTTATATGGTTCTTTTTTTAGGGACAAAAAGGAGACATAGGACCCCCTGGAAGTATAGGCCCACCAGGACAGTTAATAGCAAGTAAGACTGGGCTTTCTTAATAGCTGTTTTTCTGCTTTAATTTTAATAATACAATTATGCTAAACAGAATATACATTTCATGCTTGTTCAACCACTAGCTGAAGGAATTTCATATTTTTAAGATAACATTTTAGGGGTCACTAGGCTTTGAGGAAGATATATGTGGAATTCGGTAAGCAAACAGCCATGGCTAAAATCACATGGCATATCATCCCCTTGATAATCATACTATATGCTGGAGGCATTCAGTGGCAAGGAAAAAGAGAATGGTATTATCCTCTGTCTCTTTGAAGTTATGATAAGAGTGAAATTTATAGTTGATGTGAAATATCATATGAGAGATAAATCAAGCAAGGAACAGATTATTTCCCTTTCTGTCTGAACTAGGTAAGAGAGATGTACAGAGATTTCAATCGCTGCAATCTTTCTTAAATTCAAAATTATTGATACATTCATCAATTTTCTTTCTTTTTTTTGGTAAAAGTTTTATTTCAATTTTTGACATTTTTAAAGAAACATCTCTTTTTAGTGAACAGCATGACTCCAGGTTATCACATCTCCATACAGACATAATTTGGTTTACATATTCATCTTTCACATTTAGTTCATATCAACCTCTACTTTATATATTTCTGATTATTTTTCACAAATATTTTCTTCAAGCTTATTTATAAATTTTCCAATCATTCCTTAACCTATTCCTTTTAGCTTTAACTAATTCTCATATCATATTTATTATACTTATACTTTTATCTGTCATAATTACAATTTCATCGCATATTCTAATTTCATCATTTCAGGTAATTCCATCTTAATTCAAACACTTTAATACAAAAATTTCTCCTACAAACACCAATTAAAGTGTGCCACCCCTATATCTTATATATCATCTAATGAGTTCCCTTTTAAATCCCAATAATCATTTAACTTAATTATCCCTTTAAACATTTATAACAATAATCTTCTAACAACTACCTAACAAATAAACCTTTTATAGCAGATTCTGCATGGTGTTTTCCCTTTCAAATACATCAAAGACATTTATAATATAACAAAAAAAAAAAAAGAATTAATCTATTCAAATCATCATAACTGATATTAACTTCATTACAACAATTCTCATATTTCATTTTAACTATATTCTGTAAAATCATTAATCATAGTTATCAAACTTATTATAATTTCTCTTTATTCATATTCTTCCATTTTTTCTCCCCGCTTATAATCTCATTATGACAATCTTTATAATTAATTTCAATTATATTCCATAACTTTATCAGACTTAAATAATAAGTTATCATATTTTTTCTTTTATCACAGTAGTTCCATTTATCTCTATGTTTAGTTTTCCAATAAACCAATATTCCAATAACAAGAAAATATCAGTTCCAATCTTGCATTTAATAATCTATATTTCTCTACTTGCTAAATAGTTTAATACTTCTAATATATTTATGCTACACCTTAACACCTTGCAGTATCCTCTTTCTCAATTCTTAGTTAACCATTATCTCTATGTCTTTTAAATAAATAATTTCTTTTCATTTTTGTACAATTCCCATATTTCTTTCTTTCTTGGTTCTGTTTTTAAGACTTCTTTCCCCCTTCATTTCCCCCTTTTCTTCTTATTCCAATTCTTATCTCCCTCCCTTTTTAAAACTTTCTTCTGCAAATCCCTTTTCTGCTGTTTCCTTTTACTTTGTTTGGTTCTCAAAATATTCCCCTTTTTAGTTGCCTCCTCAAATCTCAAATTTTTCCCCTTTCTTTTCCCTTTCTGCTTTAAATCTCATTGCTCCAAATGCTGATTGAAAATGGTCTATTCTTTAATGAACTCCTCCTCTTTTTTTGACAATCCTTGTTGTTCTTCATACTTTAAAATCGCCATTTCTAAAAATTGTAGTGCAAAGCCAATTTGCCTCTTTCTTGTAACTTTTCTTTCATATTTCTCAGTTCCATTTTTAATTCCAAAAAAAGTTCTGCCATCTTTGATGACTTCTATCCAGTAATTTAATTCAGCCAATGTCTAAAAGATTTATTTCTAACAATTAGCTTTTATTGATTCTTCTTTAGATTTTCAGTTCCATCAAATAAACCAATAGCCAAAAGTTTATATTTACACCAAGATTGCCAAACAATCCCAAATCAATTTCTTCCTACTTCTTTCTTTTCCCCCCCAAAGTTCAATATTCCACTTTTACTATGCAGGGGCTCTGTTTTATTGTAGCAAAATTTCACTTATTTATATCTAATCCAATCTTTAAGAAATCCAGGTTAAATCATTCCTTTTACAGATGGCACTCTCTGTTATGTCCAAATTCCACCTTTTTTCTCTGTTTTCTTTATTTAGGGCTTCCAAATCCAAGATTCCAATAAATCCAAATATCAATTATTATGTTTTTATTTTTCCTTTGACACATTCAAGTTCAGCTTTAAATGTGCCTATTTAGTGTCAAAATATTATTTTCTTCAATTTAAACAAGTATCTTCTTCAGGCTTCTCTTGTAAAATCCAAAGCCACTTTCAGTTGTCAAAAGTTTTTTCCCCCTTTTCTCTCACTGTCTATATCTGGCACTTTAAATAATTCTCTTACAAATTATTTAGAGTTTAATTTTGGGGTACCTTGTATTCAGTTATTGCAACAGATTAGCCCAGATGTTCAAGCAGTGCTCTTCTTCACCACTCCTGCACAATCTTATCCCAGCTAGCTCTTCCTCTTCAGGATGGCCACTCAGCCATCTTCAGAAGGGAGTGTTTGCCAAGCCAAGGAGAGGAGATGCAGATCCCCTTGACCTAGCTGGTGGCCTCCCCTTTCTTCACGTTCCTACAGGGTGGATCTGGCCCCAAATCAGGATGATTGGGCCCTTCAACAGGAGAGCACAGACCGGAGCCATGGACTATCGCAGTCTTCGGTCTGTCCACGAGGATGACATCACCGGAAGCCTCATTCATCAATTTTTTTTGTAGCTAACATTAATATTAATGCAGCATTGTGTAGAATTCTAAGGCTTATTATTAACATATAAATATAGATGATACCAGCATTTTAACATGGTGTCATGCCTCCTTTTGAAGTTTGGGAAACCATGTTTTTCTTTGAGCTAAAACCATTTCTTTTGATGTGCCAAAACTAGGCTTTTTAGGGACACTAATGAGAACAAGCTACAAGTGTTAAGAGAGAAACATACAGGGTAGGCAAGGAGATGCAACATATTCTTATCTAAAGACATGTGTCTTTTGTCATGTCTAAAGAAAGAAAGCAGAGCTTTATAACACGTAAACTACCTTTATTGTTTCATATGTTGCTTTCTGATATACTTATTGTATAATAAAAGTATGTACTGTACCCTATGTAAAAACTTGACCCATCTTAATAAACATTTTTTTTTGCTTTGCCTGAAATACTTGTGTTAGTATCAGGAAGTGAAAAAGTCACTTTGCAGCTGCAGCCCATGAAAAATGTAGGATGAATGAAACCATGGCTAAAAACAATTCAACTGCAGCTTAGAACTGGAAGATGGGCAGTATATATAAAAGAGCATTGTTTGTTTATTTATTCAATTTATATAGCTGACTATCTCATGTTTTAATGATTCTAGGTGGCTTATAATAAAATACATAAAACTCACAATATAACAACATAAAAAATAAAACATATAACAGTCAGGCATTAAATACCAATCATCCACACAGTCAGGAGACAGGCTCTGTCTCACATCCAGGACCTCAGGTTCAGTTACAAAATGCTGGCAGGGATGGGACCAATCTAACTCCAAGGGCCCCATCAGACATTCCCTCGATGACAGAACCTTCCTGCTAAATCAGATAAGGAAGATAAAATCAGATAAAATCAGATAAAATCAGATAAGGAAGAGATATCCCATATGTATCCCAATCTTGAAGAACTTTAAAGATGACAATCAGGACCTTAACTTGCACCTGAAAGCACACTGAAACAATGCATTTAATAGAGTAGGTGTATCATCTCTGTTGAGTAACTGCACTAATAACTTCCCATGCTCTTGCATTCTGCACCATTTGGAGCTTTCAAATCCTTTTAAAACATAGCCCAGGGTAAAACATATTGCAATATTCCAGTCTGAAGATCACAAGAGCATGAGTGACTATGAGAAAGGCTCTTTAGTTCAGGAATGGGTACATACAATACATAACCAAAGTTGCATGAAGGCCCTCCTAGCTATGAGTGCCACCTACTCTTCAGGTAGGAGCTGCAAGTTCAGTAAGATCCCCTGACTGGGCACCAGCAGTGCCATCCTCATCGAGAACCAAATATGAAAGGAATATATGTATTCTCCAGTTTATTAGTATTAACAGGGAAAAAAACTATTTATAACACTTGTACATTATAAATATTAATGGTTTAGATGGCAGCTAAGTCCCGGTTTGTTTTTTTCTCATATGTCTGTGTCTATTTCAGAACTTTCTAATTTGGCAATCTGATATTTTCTAGGACAACTAATGGGGCCAAAAGGGGAAAGAGGATTTCCAGGACCTCCAGGGAAATGTCTCTGCAACTCTCAGCCAAACGTGAATGGCCCACCATATGAGGAACCACTGTTTGGAGAGGCCTATTCCAAAGTACCTGCAGTAAGTGAGTTTGACAGGAATTAAGATGGCATATTATGTAATTGAAGCATGACTCGATTGCTTTGTTGAAGAACTGAGATAATTATAATAACTAAGCTAAATGCTTTTGAAGTGTCACTCTTGAGTCATGCAGATAATCTTCACTTTCTGACTGCCTCATTTAGCAAGTTGTGACAGTGTAAAAAAAAGCTTTGCAACCAATCTTTGAATGTACAACTACTACAATTTTATGCAGTCATGTATTCACATTTGTGCACTTCCCAGCTGTCTTGCAATAAGCAGAGTAATGAAGAACACAGATGAAAAATAATAAGTTGCAGTCCCATGATGCCTCATTTAACAATTATGGTGACTTCCTTATTGACTGAATGGAAAGTGATGTTGTAACTTCATTATGATTTTCTGCTTAGCAACTATGGTGCTTAGTGATGGAGCTGCTGGTACCAATTGTGATTGCTAAGCTAGGACTACCTCTACTTAGTGCTAGCAATTATTGGGTTAACAATGTCATGCTTTGCTTCTGAATGAAAATACATTTAATGATATAATTAAATGATACATTTCAAGTACCAATAAATTCCTTATATCTTTGTCTATGACGGAATAGCACTGAAGGAGTATAATCCTATTTTCCTTATAAGGAATAAGCAAATATAAATGTATGCATGTATATACTCTTCGTATTTTTTTCCAATCCATTTTTCTTATAAAATATTACAGTATATCCATAATAAGTTTACTTTTTCTGCCTTTAATTACATAGAAGCAAGCATTTGAGATATTGTTTAATGATTCAACCACAGAACACTTTCAAATTCATAATATTTTTTCTGAATTGGAGAGTCAGTTGGCAAGATCCAAAATATTGACCCCAAGCTATTCGGATTTGGAATCATCTCATATATTTGTACTATGACTTATTGTCTTACATAAATATTATAGTGATCTAATCTCCCTCCTTTTTCTATTTGTAATTTTCAGATTTTTGTAGTGAATAATCAGGAAGACCTGGAAAGATTAAACACAGAAAATGCCCTAGCATTTCGAAGAGATCAGCGATCTTTATATTTTAAAGATACTTCTGGATGGTTTCCAATCCAGGTAAAAAGGGGAAAAAACAGTGTAATTTTGAAAGAATTTGATTTCTTGATCAGTAAAAGGCATATTTTTATGTGGTTTTTGTATCTGATGTCTTCTTGGTTGTTTTTTAAGAAGTGATAGATACAAATTATTTTTTGTTAAATACATTTCAGTAAATTTTGGGATGGCGCTCTCTCCATGGGGAAATATGGCTGATCCCTATATTGTCTTCTATAAGGTCACAATTCAGGCATTTTAAAGAGGGCATCAAATTATCTTTTAGATTATTTGTAATATTTCTTTTTAAAATTATCCTTGTATTTGTATTTGTTACTTTGGATTACTGCCTATTAGTTTGCTTATCTATTTATTTTGTTTTATTCTTTCATAAATTATTTGGGGCTATCCCAAGAGAAGATTAGCACAGTGATAAAATATACACAGATAATATCAATGTCTAGGGCATACTGGAATTTAGACTTTAGTCTTACTTATGAATAAATGCCATTGTATTTGGTTCTGATTTTATTCCTGTCTACAAAAAAAGTACATATGTGTTCTCTTGAGGTAAAAACAGTGAAATGCAAAATGCAGAACAGAGTAAGAAATAGTAAGCAAAAGACATTGGAGGAACAATGAAAAAGGAGGGAGGAAGAAAAGAAATAAGAACTGCATCTAATTTATTGCTACTGTATTCACTATATCTCCCTATAGTTGTGTATCCTTGAAAATCATCTTTGCTTTCATCATTTTGTTGCCTAATTTCACACATTGCCTTTTGTTCCTAAAAAGGAATTGATGGACTTTACTTATTCTTAACTAAAACATTGAATGGAATTCAGTTGGTCTTATTGATTAATTGATTGATTAAGCCTGGATCCAGCAACGTAATATTGCATGACAAGCATCTGTATTTTGTATATATTAATGTTTGTTTAGTCTTGCTGTATGTTGTCTAGAGTCAGTTGTTTGTGAAATGGATAGTTTTATAAATTTGAATGGCCACCATATAATTAATAATGTCATGTCTATTTTTGTTCTTAGATGTTATGCTTTAAGTAATTGGATTCATGAAAAAAAAGTTTTGACAATATACCCCTTCATATGTAGAGTATGGCTTACATTCTACTTTGGATATACATTTTTATCATAGTTCCCCCCAAAATAACTGATACAGGATTTCCAAGAATAAATTTAGTCAAATACTTGCAGAATACTGATTAAAAAAGAATTCAATAAAAGGTAATACGACTATCTGCTTTGTAGCCACAATATGTCACCAATATCTATTTTTTCAAATCAGTAAGGATGGTATTGGTTGCATTTTACCAAAAAGAATTTAGTACCTACCTTTTCAAACCAACACATTTATTAAAAGGTGTCAGTTTTTATGAGATACAATCTTGTGAAAACAATTACCAAACTCTTCTTTATTTTTGGCTGCCATAGACTAAAGAAGTCCTCTTCCTACATTGAGCTCCATTTATATAATCTTCTTCTGTGTCAGCAGCTAAGACCTTCCTATCCACTGGATCATCTGCTAGGAGATAGTAACGTCTGTGGAGATGGCATCATTCAGGATGGAGAAGAATGTGATGATGGCAATACCATTGTGACTGATGATTGTATAAGTATGTTTAGTCCATTCATTTCTCAGTTTCTTATTCTAGTTTATATACAAACTGGTAAAACACATCATAATTCATACATACAGTTGCATTTGGACACTAGTGCATGCAGTTCTTTTTAAAATATGATACTTGCTAACTAATGACAGGATTTATCTTACAGCATTGCTGGTAGAAATACAGAGGTTTATGTGGACTAGGCCAGTGATCCCCAACCTTTTTGACGCCGCGGCCCGGTACCGGCATCAGCTGGGCGCCGCCATCTTTTTTTGATGAAAACGTGCTTCCGGTGAGCTTTCTACCCGGAAAAGCTCACCGGAAGCACTTTTTCATGAAAAAAAGATGGCGGCGCCCAGCAAGCCGCGGCCCGGTAGGAGTTGTTCCGCGGCCCGGTACCGGTCCGCGGCCCGGTGGTTGGGGACCCCTGGACTAGGCAAGGCCAATTATTGGAATTATTAATTTAAAACCTTCCTATTAAATCTGGGGAAACTGTTTTCTTTGAATACATTTCAGACTAATTCTAATTTTTGGTTAGCAGCATCCATATTTGTATAGTAATTTGAATACTGAAAACAGAATATATTATCAACAATCCTTTATGTAGCTATTACATTCCTTGGATTATGTTAGGCCAGTTTTTATTCCTGCCTTTCATTCTTTTTTCTTTTTTTAGTAAATAGTGTATGAAAGAACAATCTGATATCTTCTAGATTTATTAGACTATGATTTCTACAATTGGACTGAACTTTTGTTAAAAATAAACCCCAAAAGGATGGTCATGGGTTGAGAATTATAATCTAAGATATTTTTTTGGTTCAGAAGTCTCTGCTAAGATTATGCAAAATAACTTTTCAGTTAATTGTACATTAGTTTTTTATTTATTTATTTAATTGTACATTCGTTTGTTTTTTTATATATTTTATATTATCAAATATTAGCTGTTTTCTCCTAAAATTATTTTAATATATAATTTTACACTGTTTTTGTATGTGCTTTTTTAAAAAACAGTGAATATGACATACTTGTTTTTGTATGATTTCTAAATTTTTATTTTGAATTTATTTTGAAATATCTCTGAAGAAATAACAAACTGGAAAGCTTTTTTGAAACAAAAATATATACCTAGGATTACATATGGATATATATATATATATATATATATATCATATGTAATTCTAATAAAAATAGTTTTTATATAAATATTTATATTTTAGTATAAAAAATTTGGAAGTAGATCTTATAGATTTGCAGGTTATCTTAAAACAAACAATCAAATGCTTCTTTTTTCACAGCTTTAATTGTTTTGAAGAAGATTGAAAGCAGATCATTTGAAATAATTAGCTGGTATTGGTGTGGTCCAAAACAACAAATAGAACTAATCTTTATGTCTCTTTCACCAAATTTTAAGAAATTGATATTGAACTTAGGATAAATGTAGTTGTATGAAAGCCAGCCAATGCCAGATGGATTATTTATGGCAGGGATACAAAGAAATGCTTCTTATTTTTAATTGAACCACAGGTAATTTTTTTAATAAAAGTTTTTTATTTATTTTGACAACAAATATTAACAAATACAAATATAAAACATCAAATAAAACCATCTTTCCATTGTACAGTGTGTCAGTTGGTACATATCTTATGTGCATAATATCAACAGTCTTTCCCTTCTAAATTTAAATTAAAATTCATATTTTATAGATCAACTATGCATATTATATTATATTGCATTATATTATATTATTAACTCCTTATTAGACTTTAATTATAAATTCACATCATCCTTTTCGAGCAAATCTCAACTTTTACAAAACCTAGTTCATATCATTCATTTAATTGTAATCAGTTATAACATATCATTACATTGTCATATCTTTACTATTATATTATATTTATATTATAGTATATTTCCCTATTTTCTTATCTAGTCATTGATAAAATAAATCCCAAATTTGCTCTCTAATGGCAAATGTCAATTTACTAATTTCTGCACATTCCATTATTTTCTTAGTCACCTCCTCTTCTATCGGAATTTTTTCACTTTTCCAATTTTTGGCAAATATAATTCTAGCTGTTGTTAAAACATTTATAATCAGATATATCAATTCTCTACTGTAACCTTCAGGTAAGATACCCAATAAAAATATCTCTGATTTCAAGTCTATATGCTGTTTTGTCATTTTTTCCAGCCTTGTATGAATTTTAGTCCAGTATCTTTTGGCTTCCACACCTGTCCACCACATGTGATAGTATGATCAAGGTATCTGATAACACTTCCAACATTTCTCTGATTTGTTCTTAAACATCCTTGCTATTCTTGCCGGGGATAGATGCCACCTGTAAAACATCTTATATAAATTCTCTTTATATGCTGTTGACATTGTTATTTTATAGTTTCAAGACCATAATTTCTGCCATCTTTCTAAATCTATCCCATATCCAAAATTCCCCGCCCCAAGCAATCATTGTTTCAGTGATGGGATTCAAAAACTTTTACTACCGGTTCTGTGGGTGTGGCTTAGTGGGCGTGGCCATGTGACTGGGTGGGCATGGCTTTTTTTGCAGCCCCCACCTATTTTTGGAAGCTTCCTAGGCACAGAGGAGCCTCGGGGGGGGGGGGGGTTGCTCCCCTAAGGCTTCTCTGGGGCTCTGGAAGAAAAGGAACAGAGCATGGGAGGGGCACGCAGCACCCCTCCAAACTCCATTTTGGGAGCTTCCTAGCCTCAGAAGAGCCTGTGGAGAGGCGTTTTTGCTCCCCTAAGGCTCCTCTGGGGCTCTGGAAGGCAAAAAATGGAGCGGGGGGCTGAGCTCCTCCCTCCATTTTTTGTCTTCCTGGGCCTCAGCAAGGGGAATCCCAACACAGCTGATCTTATCTACAGCTGACTTGTCGGGAGGGAAAAAAAGAAATAAATACCTTAGGTGAATGTCCGGCAGGCAGGCGGGGTGAGTGAGCATCAGGCGGGAGGGCGACCGGGTGGGGGGCATGGCCAGCTAGAACTTACTAGTGGTTCGGCGACCCATACCAAATTCTTGCTACCGGTTCGCCCGATTCAGTGCGAACCGGCTGACTACCACCACTGCATTGTTTCTTTTACTTGTTCTTCTTCTAATTTTACTCTAAGTAAGTATTCATATAATATAATGTAAGTATCTCATCAGTACCTGTCAAAATTCCATCTAATTCAGTAAGTTCATTATAAAATCTTTCTATCTTATGATCTTTATCATATCTAAAATGTATTTGCATATATGAATAACAATTCATCTCTATTTCTTGTTCCTCTAGTTCTTGCTTAGATTTGAGTTCACCCTCTTTAGTTAATATTTCACCATATTTTACTGTATGCTCCGTTTTATGGACAATTGGATATGAAAATGCCTCTATAGTTGACAACCAGACTGGTATTTTCATGTAATGTTGTTTCCTTATTTTCTCCCATATTAATAATAAAACATCACGAATATAGTGTCTCCTAAAATACCCATGTGTTTCACTTTCCTTATACCATAAAAAAGTGTGCCATCCCAGTAATAGGTCATGACCTTCTAATGTTAACAATCTAGTATTCCTTAAGACTATCCATTCTTTCACCCACATCAGTGTTGCCACTTGGTAATATAATTCACAATTGGGTAAATCAAAACCTCCTCTTTTTCTGGCATCTTGTAACAATTGTAATTTAATTCTTGCCTTCTTTCCCTGCCATATATACTTCAGTATTATTTTACTTAAATCCTCAAAATATTCTTTCCCTAGTTTAATTGGAATTGTCTGGAACAAATATAAAATCCTTGGTAATATATTCATCTTAATTGTCGATATTCTCCCTATTAGAGATAATTGTAGATTTTCCCATTTTTTCAAGTCTGTTGCAATCTGTTGTTTGAGTTTATAATAATTATCTTCTGCACCACAGCTAATTCAAGCCAATTTTCTGGAACTAGACAACACACAGAACCACAGACTAATGTCCTTGTTGAATTCAAAAATATGCTATAGAAGATAACGTGGTTAGTTAGTTTGTGATCATCTGCTGATTGCTGCATGCCTTCATGCAAAATGTTTAATCTGGTTATTCGTTAACTTATTTTCTGACTTCATACAACATCCTAATTCATATACTATTCATCCCAGGTATGGGCTGTGTCCATACAATATGGAAAGCTACAAAAAAAAAAAAAAAAAACCACCACATTTAAAATTAGCCAAGCAGTTCTTTTGCAAGGCCAAGATCTTCAACTAACTATCTTGTTTAAATATAGTGAGTAAAGAACAAAGAGAAAAAAATCTATGCCAATAGCTAAGCAATTCAACTTGCCAATAGCTAAGCAGGGCAATTCAACCCTCATAAGACCATTTTCTGACTACTGACCAAACAGCTTCTTCTAGGAGAGCCAGTCACTTTTATATCACTGTAACAGTATCAACGTCAGGCTTTTTTTGTCTCAAGATGGCTGAGCTGCGCTAACAGGAAACTATCTTAAGTCTCTGCTGACCTTTGCTGCTACACAGCAAATTTGGGTGTGCAGGAATATTGCTCCTGGGTGAGAGAAGCAATGTGCCTCTCAACATTCAATCAGTTGAAAGAAAGACTTCAAAGTTTTACATATGTTTGGGTCCTTTCTTTTGTGGGTAGAGGTGGTATATAATATAAAACACTTATAAATACTTCTAAGCCCGTATCAATAAACTGTATTGATGTAAAGATAATTTGAATTGATAACTTAATCATCAATTGATATAAAGATAATAGATATAATCTAAGCTATATTAATATAAATATAACTATGTATCTACAAAATAACATATTTTTGTTTTCTATTTTTAAACAATAGGATGCCACCATGCTTATTGTGGGGATGGCTATCGGCTTGAAGGTGCAGAAGAATGTGATGGGAATGACTTTGGATACTTAACGTGCAAAACATATCTCCCTGGGTATGATCATTTTAAAACTGAATGACAGAAGACGTGTTTTGATTAAACAAATGTGAACACAAGGGAAGGAGGAAGAAGGAGGCAGTATAATTATTTCCAGGGAAGGGAGGGATAATTAATAAGGGAGATATAGTTGATTTAAAGAAAAGCTTCCTGAAGACTACAAATTTGAAGATACAAATCTTCTGTATTGGCTTAGAGGTGATAAGAAAGATTAATTTTATTCCAAATCAATAGTTGCAGAGCAATAGTGAAGTGATCTGCAAAACTATTCATTCACCTCTGATTACTTGAAAAATAAAGAGGAATTAAATTCTGAAGTGAAAAGATTGGATGAGCAATTGTGTTCTAGAGATAGTTGCACATTATCAGGAATATTTGATTTTCGTTATGTATTTTGTAGACACACACAAAGATATGTGCATAGGCACAAATCAGTTCTGCTTTACTTAGTTCTCAGACAACTGTGGAAGGCAAGTAAAATCAAGGGGTGAACCTGAAGGACAAAATAATTGTGGAGAAGGGTGACAGTCTCTTCAAATTTACCACACTCTGGGATTGGAGGGAACTAATCTGAAAAAAGCGATATTAGGTTTAAATTTGAACTGAAATTTTATTGGCTCGTTCAGCAGGTCTCCACCTTTTAGCTTCCCATAAGGCTTTAAATGCTTTTACATCAAGCATTGGGGGAAGATTAGATGCACATTAGAACTAAATTGTGCCAGATTTTAAATTAGTTGAATTTTATACTTTTAAGTGATTTTGTGCTTCTTTAAATTTTTTTGGTTGCTGCCCAAAGTTGATTGAAAGATGGGTAGCTACATAATTTTTTATAATAACAAATAGATAAATATTGTAAAAGACTGAAGGCCAAACAGTGAGTGATATTCAAAATATAGATGAGTCCAAATTAAAAATTAAAAATGACATTTGATTATATTTGTTTAGTTAATTAAATCTAGTTTAAACTAACATTAAATGTATAGTTAATTAAATCCAATTAATGATTTCAGTAAATGCATTTCAGTTCCTTTATTGTTTGGTAGCATTTGAGTGAGCTCCAGAAAATAGACTACAGTTTTGGAGTAGAAAAGGCCATGTGGTTACATATTTACTTTTGTGTGGCTTCCTAAATATGAATAGCTATCAAGGCAATGAGGATTTTTATAAACCATCTTCTCATTCCCCAACTACTTTTGAATGTTCCATGCTGCTTGGAACATTTCTAAGAAACAAAAACCACATACAAGTAGTTCTTGGCTAATATTACAATAGTGCTGAACAAGTTTTACTTACAACAGTTCCTCAGTGTTATGCCTGTTGTTATGCCTGATGTGCCTCCACCATCACATGGTTGTGTTTTGACCACCTGGCAACTGACTAGCATTTACAATGGTTGTAGCATCCTATGGTCACATGATTGCCATTTAGGGCCTTCCCTGCCAGCTTGCCACAAGCAAAGTAAATGGGGAAACAGCAGGGAAGGTGGTGAGTTGCTTTGGCTTCCCTTGCTTTTTCTCTTGAGGAACCCACTAAGGAGTGTGAGATCCCTGCCTGCATTGCACAGTCACATCCAACCTCCAGCTGTGTTTGCCCAGGCCACAACATCCACCCCCTGCGTATTTTCACTCCACAGCACTATCCACCACCATCCTACTTGCAAGTTGCCTAAGATGATCGTTACTTGCAACTTCCTGCTGGTTTCTCCATTAACTTTGCTTTTTGGAAGCCAACAGGAAATCTTAAGTCATGGTCATGGTCACATGACATCCTCACTTAACACCTATGATCCTCTCTTAATGATGGCAGAAAGGAATGCCAGGATCACATGACATCCTGCTTTATGACTGCACCACTTAGGAAGAGAAATTCTTGTCCCAATTATTGACATTGTGAGAACTATTTGAGTGGAGAACATAATTTGCCCCCCCTTTTCTCTTCACAGAACATGTTAACTATTGAGTATCAAATTACTAAAATTTGATTAAAACTACTATTATAGATTCCAGTACCAGAATCTGCGAGTTTGAATGTATCCTCCTTCTTGCCCTTTATCTTCCAAAAAATTAGGGAAGATAAAATCTGAATAAAATTCTCCTCCTCCTCTTTCACAAGGTTATTTTCATTTCTTTAGTTCTTCATTCACATACTGGAACTGTCTCCAAAAATATTGCTGTGGTTGTTCCCAGCAGGTTACTTAACTTGGATCTTTGCTTGCTTGCAATCTGACTTGTATGTATTGAAACAACCAGTTTTCTTTGGTTAGCAATCTTTTTACCTGCAGTGGCTGTTGTTCTGCATGCTGTCAGATGCTCTTGCTATTTTACGGGAAGCATTTAATTTGTAAATGAAATTATCTGCAGAGCCCTCTTGGGACATTTTAATTGGCAGGAACAAGAAAGATAGCTCTGCCAAAACTCGGCTGAGTTGATGGCCTGTATCTAATTGTAACTTGCCATAGAACCGTGTCCTGCTGTAGATCTGTTTTGAAAGGCAAATGATTGTATGGACATAATTGATGCAAACCCTGAAAAAGATTATCTACCGATAGTGAAAATTAAAAACAGGGCTTCAATTCCAGGAGAACCTCTTGGGCAGGTTCCAGGTGAGATTTTCATTGGCAGGCTGCTCTGGTTTATTACAAGAGCTCACAGAACTTCTAGATGATTTTGTAATCCTTCAGCTATATTTTGTAATCCTTAGCAACTTACATTTTAGCAGCCTTTGATTGTTTCTTGTTTCCTTCTATGGAATCCACTTTGTCAGAAAAACCTGGAAGAGAAGTGAAAGTATAAAAGGCATAATACCTACACAGAACTTCACTCCTTTGTACTTTTATTTCCTTTTTTTAATCACACTTTTATAACTTTGTAAGTAAGTCATAATAGCATGATTTACCTACATTCATCCCCTCATTTTCCTCATAGCAACAACCCTTTGAGATGGGTTGGGCTAAGAAGGAATCATTGACCCAACTTAGCTCCACTGACTTTCATAGCTAACATAGGACTAGAACTCTCAGTCTCCTGATTTCTAAATCATGATCTTAACCACTGTACCAGATTGACAGTTTAGTAGTATGTATTGACAAAGCTTGATTAGGAACTTCTCCAAAATAATGGAATGATGGTTATAACTATTGCCAATGGCAGCTTATTTTATTCTAGAAAGGGGACATATTTTGCATTATCTTCATGTGACAATTTTATGTTTCTTTCTACAGAAAACAGAATTCAAAACCTATTCTTAATATCTTTAAATTCAATTTTGTCTAAAGGATTAAGACTATCTGTTTAATTGAGTACCATTTTCTTCCAGTTTGGTTGAAAATTTGCTATATATAACCTTCAGTTTCTTTTCTTTTTAAGGGTTCATTTTAAGTAAAATTAAGCCTCCTTAAATGTGCTATGAGTAAAAAAAATAGGTACAAATGGAAACAACCAATACACGCAATATGTCAATTACAAAAGGCAGCTTTACTTGGAGCAGTTTACATCTCGTGACAATATTGTTAACACCTTCAGACAAGAACTTCTGCCTATTCCAGGTCTTTGGGAAGGACTCAATAAGTGGATAAAAAGGGCACACCATAAACATGTGGCTGTTAGTGCAGTGAACTATAATAAATAATAGCATTTAAATTATAATAAATAATTTATATGTCATGTCTGCCTTATCTTTTCTCTTAGGTCTTATGGAAAATTACGCTGCACTTCTTACTGTTATATTGACTCTACAGATTGTCGCTATTTTACATGAAAAGTGAGTGGTAAGAAAAGAATAACCTATATATGACATGCATGCATCAGGTGCTACATTAGTATCATCAAACCAAGACTGGACGATGGAGAAATAATCAATGCTGAAACAACCATTGTCATGTTGCCATGATGATTGGAGATAAGTGTTAATTGCCTGATCACAGTGGAAGAAAAATAGACCATTCTTTCCTGTCTCAGTAGAAAACATCCAATGACCGTAACATTCAAGATTTGCCTTTTCCATGACTGGCTGAATGAATTTTCCTGTGTATCAAGAACAAAACCAAACCAAAGGAACACAATATTTGACTTCATACTGTTAGGTTATTAAAATACAATAATACCTCAATTTAGCACTGTTAGTTCTTCACCTAAGCTCTTCAGGTTTTCTTAACAAGACTTTTCAAGAATAAAAACAAATCATAATCTGTTGGAAGTATTTATAAGGAGTCTTTTGTTTTTGTTTTTTAATTATTATTACAATGTGAAATTTGTACATGCTTTAACTGCATGAATTACATGGAAACACTTTATGTTTGTTGATTTGGGCAATTTAAGTTGCAGTCCAATGCCCTCTAATGTTGTATTAAATATCACTGAATTCATTCTAACTTAACTTCCGTGCAGACCTGCCCAAGAACTAAAGGGAAATAAAGACTATTTAGTTTTAGTTTTTTTTAAAACAAACCAACAAACCTACATTAAAAAAGAAAGATGCAATGAGATTAAATCATACTTGCTGACAGTTTAAATGGGACAATTAGGAAGGAACCACATTTGCTGGCTAATAACACCAATGAAATAGACACAGTTCAGAATCCTAGGAATAGGATCAGCTTCTAATGTTGAAAGAAATAATGCCTTGAGCATATTCATATTCCAGGCAGCTAGAGCCAACATGGCCAATAGATGAGTAATGATACAGTTCAGCGACTTCTGGAAGATTGCAGCACATTGTATTTAAAACTAAGGACTCCTATGCAAGTTTATACAGGTGCCAGTTTCATGTCCAGTGGGTCTAAACATTCAGGAAACTGTGGTTAGGATTGTAGTCAGATTTCCTGTAATTCCAGGACAGTAGTTCATATGGAGCAAGCTAGTGAATATACTCTTCCATACATTATATTCATGAAAATATTTGGAAATAATCCTAAGCGAATTCATCTAAAATATACACTGTTACATTTACCACTGCATGGAAGGTTGCATTTGAAACACTGAGTTGCATTAATGATAATTGTTGAAAAACTTTCAATCAAACTTTAATTCTGGCTTATTTGCCAGGAAGTATTAATTAGTTGCTCACTTTTATTGATTTCTGGTCTGATAATTGTTTTCCAGTCTCAGCTTTGTATAACATTATATATGATTGTGTATATATTGTATTTGTACAGCTTAGTTTAAATGCTGTATAGATTTTGTATGTATATAAATGGCTTTTCTTTTCCTATTTTCTAGAAAAAAAATATCATTCAGAATGTTATTTACTTTATAACAGACATTAAAAAGGAAATTTTACATTGGAAATATGCTAAGATACAAATCGAAACTTTAAATGCAGGTAGATTAATTTTCATTTAGTGAAATACCAGTTCAAATTAAAAGAGTTAAGACAGGCCACTCTTTTCCTGCTATTATTGATCCAAAATATATGGTTGAAATGCATGAAACTTGTAAAACATTGGTTACTGTTATATCCTGCTTTTTCTGTAGATATTAAATACAGAGGACAGCACACAATTATAATAAAATTAAGCTAACAATTATTCATCCTTTTTACCATAGATATGTAGATGTTAAGTCTGCATGTGTAAAGTATTGTGAAAATATTTTTTTAAATAAAAACCATTCCATTATTCAAATTGGTGCTCCTTTATCTGAATTTCTTGTATTGATTTCCCCCAATTTGAAATTTTACCAGATGTGCTCAATTACAGCTTTAGTCACGTAGAATCACTTTCTGGCTATACAGGCTATACTGCAACACCTCTGGAGGATTTTACATGGAAGAAGTCTTGCTTACATTATAATAAAATTTCTGGGCATAATCGCATGAATGAAAGTTGTGCCAAGGTCACTTAAGTTCTGTGGTATAACTTTTCAGATCCTTTTTAATTGTGTGCTCAAGTTGCAAACAAGCAGGATTCATGGTGTCAAATTTACTATGAATTTGCCCAACAGCTACAATACTCCATGGTTGTGGATTGTTCCTAGTGACTATCATATGCTCAGGGTGGGGTGCTCAGAAGACTATATTTGTACTATAACTTCTCTTTCTTCAGGGTTTAATCACATGTCCATACTGTATTTCAAGTCTATGACTGCATTCTCTGAACCTGTTCCAATTTATTTGAATCCTTTTTAAGATTGTGGTGTCCAGAATCAGGCTATTCAAGAAGAGGTCTGATTAGTGCAGAATACAAAGAAACTCTTTCTTCTCCTGATTTGGAAATTATCACTGCAAACAATCTCCATTTGAGTAGGATTGATTCATCTTCACTCAAGGATCAGCTCCAATTCTAGACCATGTGTTCTTGTTAAGATGATGTAAATTTGGGGGAAATCATAATTAATCATATGTTAAGAATTTCACGCTGTCTTGAAACCTCTTGCTGCAATGTAAGAATATTCCAGGAAGACATTTCATTTAGAACAAAAGTCTATGAAACTCTCATTTTATGCTGCTACTGGCCAGAAGACGAAATAATAATGTTCAGTGTAAAATCTCTCTTTAGTCATTAGTTGTGAATTGTGGATATGTACCTAAAATCTACTAAGAAATCCCATTATTTATTTGGCACAGAAAGTCACTCTGGAAAAAAGATTACAGATTTAAACTTTTAAATTGGGTTTCTTCCCCTCACCATCCAGCCTTTTTTCATTTCAAAGTTTCATTTATTATTGCATTTATCTACATATTATCATTAGTGAACTCCAGCAGTCTTCTGTTCCCCCATTTCTCATTTCTCTATTGCTGTTTGGCAAAACTTCAAGTTCTAAGAGGCTGCAGCAAAAAGTCTTGTGGTATGTTTTGATTGCATTTATGATCTCTGAGCCAGTTAAGACTGATGTCAATTTATTCAACAAACAAGATGCTATCTCTGATAGGGTCAGCTAACCGGGATTGTATTAAGAGAATGCACTCCTACTGGAAATTACATTATAGATTTTTAAAATTAGGTTGTTTTTTTTAAAGAACCAAGATTTTTTTTTTAAGGATTATTTTATGCACAAGCATCTTACTCTTCTTCTTATATTTTAATATTTTAAGTATTTATTTTGGCTTGATTTTTAAGAGGTGTAAGTAGAATAGGAACTAATGAAGTGTATATTACCATTAATGCTTACTACTCTATTCCCAGACATGTAACTGTATTTTGGGCATTGACAACCAAATCTGTTTACAATCAACTGCAGAATTTTGCGGTCACGTGACTGCAATTTTTGACATCTTTGCTGGTTTGAGACTTTTCAGAAGCAAAAGTATGCAATTTAATTTTGCTCTCTATTAATTAAAAAAAAACTTAAGAAATATGTATTTATAACTCTAATGCCCTTGAAAAGAAGCAGATCAAGAACAATAAATGCAAACAATAAACCATGGTGAACTTTCCAAGTCCTGTAAAATATTTGACAGTATGTGTATGCTTTTTCTAAATTACAAAACATACAAAAAAGCACTAACATCCAAACACCTATCAACCCACACTGTTCTCATGCTATGTTTTAGTATAATGCTGCATTTTTGAAGAAATGGTGAGATGCTTTCCTTCCCTTCAGATTCCACTTGCAGTGAATGTTTTTAGATGGCTACTTCAAGCAGCTATCAGCTACATTTGATCTGTGCATCTGTCCCATGCTATTTGCTCTATTAAAGAAATATGGCTTTTTGTGTCTACTAAAAAGGTTAACAGCAATTGCAGTTTTTATAGCACCAATTTACTATGAGAAAACAAATGAAATAAAACCATATAGAGTTGAAAGAGGGGACAGCTGGACAATTCAAAACCTATCTTGAACACCCCAAAGCTCCCTGGGAAACAGTTTTGCTTATCCTACATTCCAGAAAAGCTAGAACTACAATGAAGGAAAATGTTCATAGCAGACCATGGTCTGTACTATTTCTGTGATGGGCTTCTGGCAAGGGATGGGTTGCACCTCAGTGTTTTTGGAAAACGACTGGCTCAACTTATCAGCAGGGCTTTAAACTAAAATTGAGGTGGGAGGATGAGCAATCTTTAGGATCTCCAGGACCTAATTCCAAGCAAAAACCTCTAGAAAGCAAGTCAAATAATGAAGTAAATAGGGATGGAAAGGAAGACAAATTCAAACACCAAATAAGAGACATAGGAAGCATACCCAGTATCAAACATAAAGATCTCAAGTGCCTATATACAAATAAAGTCTGGGAAACAAATAGTGTGAACTCAAAACTACTAATACATGAAGGCAGATATGATATTAGTTGGAATAACAGAACCCTGGTGGGATGAAATCCATGACTGGAACTGATAGAAGGATACAAACTGTTAAAAAAAAAACACAAACAGATCCCATAAAAGAGGAAGTGGAGTTGCACTGTATGTAAATATTGCTACAGAAATGCATGAAACCAAAGACGAAATACTGAACAAGGAGAGATTTAACCTGGAAGTAAGAAGACATTTTGTGACAGAACAATGAATCAATGGAACAGCTTGCCTTTGGCAATTATGGGAGCTTCATCACTTGAGACTTTCAAGAAGAGATTGGACTGCCATTTGTCAGAATGGTGTAGGGTTTCCTGCTTGGGCAGGGGTTGTACTAGATGACCTACAAGTCCCTTCCAACTCTGTTAATCTATATCTGTATCTATCAGTCAGAAAAAAGATGTGAAATTCCTCAGATCTTACTTGGGGGATGTTTATGGGATAACTACTTTATTTTCCCCATTAACTGAAAAATGGCTGTGATCCAGTTCTGGAGAACTGGTAGCGGAAATTTTGAGTAGTTCGGAGAACCAGCAAATACTACCTTTAGTTTATATAAAGCTCAGTACTCTGTATAAGAATATGGGGTTGAATAAAATACAGTTCAGTTAACTAGAGCAAAATGCATCATGCCAATTCAGCCAGATGTTTGACTGTGGACTCTCTCTCTCTCTCTCCTAAGAAGTCCTAAGAAGTAGCCAATGGCAAACCACTTCCAAACAAATATTGCCAAAGGAACTGCAGGGACTTGAAAGTATTATTATCACTCCACAAAAAAATAGAAGGGGGGGGGAGGGAAG